ATTTCTATTATTATTCTTAGATTACTATTAAAATTTATGCAAAATAAATGCTGAAAAGTATTATTCGACATTCTGAACTTTATAAAAAATTATTATTAAGCTAATTAATTATTAATACATTATATAGTTATTATTAAATTAGCTAAAATTATGATTTGAGTGTTAAATTAACCCTCGAAGTTGCTACGTCCCATGCATTTAGCTGAAAAATAGACATTAAGTGTTACGCTAACCACCTAGAGACGATAGATGCCTTGAAACACGAAACGGAAGTTGCCATTTCATGCGATTCATTCTGGTAATGTAATATAAAAAATCTGATGTGTACACCACATGACTTCTTTGTACGGAATATTAAATTTATACGCATTTTTTCTTGCGTTTTATTTAAACTTATTAGTTTGAATTAAACCTACTTCGCCGACAGGCGCATAAACCACAATAGAATAAATGCATTCTTTAAAATTCACTTTGTTTAACATAGCGAAACTCTGGCGTTAGGTTTAATTAACAGTATTATATTTCGTTCATATTATAACTCAGAATGCACAAAATGTATATCATTTAAAGAATTATCTAATCGTTGCCACATGTTCTATTCAAATACTATAACAAAGCTAGAACGATGTATGAAAGAAATTAAGCAAACAAAACGAAAGAGAAACAGTTTTTCACAGACGATTGAGTATTTCTCATTCAATTAATTCAGTTTTCACTTCGCGACAAGGCAAAAATACATAAAAACTCAAAATACCTGTATTAAAAATTACGAAGTAAATCTTAAATACATATTTCCTCGAAAACATTCCAGAAAGGATTAAGCATGATTTAATTCACAATAATGAATGAATGTTTTATCTTTTGTTGTTGCGAAGCTTAGTGTTCTCTAGACTTGGGCAACAAATCTACTAATTCCGCTGTTTCAAATGTAAACAAACATGTGAGCCATGTTATTTAAAAGTTAAGGATTAACCGCACTTAAACAGCTTTTAAATTGTTCATTAATTGTACAAATATTGCTTGTATATTTACTAAAGGCATAAACACCTTAAACGGAAGATAAAAACAATATAATTTAATTATTTTTAAAGCAAAAAATACACAATTTGCAAACATATAAACGGTATATATAAGAGTAAAGAAACTGAGATCACTGAGCCGGGTAACAGAGTGGATATATTTATAAATAATATTTATATACGTTTGGCACGGCCGATTGCAACCAAAATACGAGATGCACATCTACATGTTATAGCAGTAGCAGTCCTATATACAAAATTTCAAACGTTCTGAGGCTACTCGTTTTTGAGTTATGCGAGATACGTACGTACATACGTTCGTACAGACGCCACGAAAAATTCTCTTCAGAATCAATTTTAAAGCAGTTTTATAATTTTTTGAAGGAAATGAGTATTTTAATCTGTCCTTACGTACAGATATCACGCAAAAACATCGTTAAATTGCATTCGATAGCGGTCAAAATGGATATTTTTGTTGAAATATGCTGCCTGAAACTTTTCGCGATTACAATACTTCCTTTTTACTTCGTACAAGGAAGTAAAAAACACCATCCACTTAGAGCGACTTGATCTCAACTAACCATGGCGAAAAAACATAAATTTGATTAGTTTATAAATGTGAAATATCAGTTTAATGAAGAATAATGTTATAATTAAATAATGAAGATTATGTACGTATGTATGTATCCTCACACTGTGAAAGACTGACGACATCTAGAGCCCCCAAATGTTTTATATACGTGGTCCTTCACCCGAACGTGGGCACCTCGAAGCTTGAATTTTGAATTTTGAATTTTGAATTTCGAATTTGTTTTTGATTTAATCCATATTTTGTACAAACGTAACAACTTTTTGTGTATCTTCGTTCAAAATAATTATTTTTATCTTTTTATATCTTTTTATTTTATCCTTTTTTATATACTATTATAAAAATAAATTTTAGAAAATTTAAACTTTCATCATTTTTCTCTTATATTTACTGTTTTTTAATGCGAAATAAGACATTTATCTAACATTTTTTATTAATTTTTGTCTCTGTCTTTAATTTTAGCGCCCAACTGTTGCCATTCGACAAAATATAAGATACTTATCTTTCAGATTCAATTCACAAATCCAGTTATTTAAAAGCAATGTGTTGTCATTGCCTCAAACAGAATACTTATTATCTCCATGCACCAGCGAGTTCTGTTATTTATTACGTACTCCGCCATTAGTTTATATCCACGTTACACATGGGGTAAACCACGAAAACATCCTAATACACCTAGGAGTTCGTTTACAGGGACTCGAACTCCGGACCGAACTGTCAGTGTTAAGAGGCTTTTACTGCTCGATCGTTAGTGGGCCTTGCACCAGCATGTTGCTATTCAGTAGCGCATAAGATATTTAATTTTCAAATTTAATCCATTTTATACTGAGTTGCAAATGAAGCGATTGATAAGCAATAAATGCAGTTCTTAAAAATATTTTCCCCTTCTCTTTAAACTGATTGATCAGATTAAATCTGATTGATCAGATTAAATCTGATTGATCTGATTAAATCATAAGATGTCCAACTAGAAATATTTCATATTTTTATGAAACGTCTCTAGGTGGACTCATTAAAATTATTATATTGTAAGGATTATGTTAATTTTATTAACAGTTAAATTTTGAGTTAATGTTCCTTTCCTATCGATTCCTAACTTCAACTTACTACTTCCGGCCAGAACGTAGTTTAAGAATCACATCTGAATACTTAAAGAGGAAGAGCGGTATTTAACCGCGAAGATCTTCTGTCTTAGTGAGAGAGATACCAGGTATTCTGGCTGCACGCGTCCGCCTTTTTAGGCTACTCTCTCGTAAGCTATTATCACGCTCGGCCTTACTTTAGGCCCTGGATAGTTTCGCAGTCTATTAACGTTAAGGGGATAACTCGGTTAGAATTTTGATAGCTTCGGCTTTAAGATTCTTTACTTCCAACAGTAACTTCGAAATTACAAAGTGAGGAACTCTACAATGTACTTCTTTTTTCTTATGATAACTCGGCTGGGCGCTCGAGTTGCTAGTTTTCAAAGAAATATACACCGAACAGAAAAAAAAAATTGCCACCTTTAACAGTCTGTCTAGAATTTTAAAGATATGCTGTTTTTAAATGCTTTGTGATTTTGCTCTTGAATTTTATATGGTGTATGTGGGAAGAAAGCGATGCTTTAATAGGTTATTAAGGTTAAAAGACAACAAAAATTGTGTTAGCAGGAGTGAGTCAAAGAGCAGACTGGCAAACCTGCAGTAAGAAAACCTTAACAAACTCGGATTGACTTTCAAGTTTTTTCAATGATTAAAGTACTTTTTGCTATAAAATGCTAAAATTTTGAAATCTTGCAAAAACATATAAAAAAGCACTATCGCTGAAATATAAACAAAATAAATAATATTCAAGTTAAGAATTAAAACCAAAATAATTTTTTAAAATATCAGTAACCTTCAAAAATAAGATATTTAAGAAATGTTTCATATCACATGAATTTTATGAAATTATCGAATTTAAATTCAACTTTTAAGCTTAAAAATTATCAAATATTTAAAAATTTAAAAATCACCCATATAGTTTCTTTTTTTGTATTTAACATAAGAACTTCTCAAAAAATAAAAATGTAAATTATCAATTTCCGAATTTAATAGCTCTTAATAAAATAAGAGCAATGTGCATTCAAATTCTTGTTTCAATTTCGCATTTTATTAGTCCCAAAAAGGCAATTTTCCCGGAAGGTCTATCAATTTCGTTTTGGTATTTTGAATCAGTTCATTATAAACAGCCTTTCACTTTTAAAATTTTTGCCACCAAATGTAAAAGCCCTGGATTATATTTAAGGAAATTAAATAATGACGAATCTGCATGAATGTATGTATGTTTCTCGCACTGTGAAAAAACAACGGTACCGAGACGCATCCAATTTTGAGTAGCATAGTCCTCCTTTCGAATATGGGCATCTGGAAGCCCAAATTTGAAATTTGTTTTATTATCTATTTCATAGTTTGTAAAGCATTTATCAGTTTTTTATGAAGAAACTCTACGATTTCAAAGCGAGCAATGGCCACATTGTAGGGGGGGAGGAATTTATCTCCAGCGCGCAAGACTGTGTATTGGAAATTCTAAAGACATGCTCATGTTAAGATTATATTTGCGATATTGCTCTTGAACTGAATTTAATGCTAATTCAGAAGTCAAACAACAAAAATCAGCGTTATATTTTCAAAATTTTCATAGGACTTTTCCATGTTTCTACGGAGCCACTCATCCGCAGGCTGCAAAAGTGCAAAAGAAACAAGATAGGATATAATGATTAGGATAAGATAAGAACAGCCTGACATAGAATGTTAAGCAAGTGGCGCCATCTGTTGATGAAACCAGAACTAAAGCATAATTTCTTTAAAGGCTGAAGGTAAAGGATGGATTGGAATTAGGATCGTAACTAGAAAAGGAAGGATTTTTTGGAATGAGAAATGCCTCTAGAAAATCCAATTAATCCAATGGAAAGCTGTTTTTTTTTAATAATTTTGGCTGAAGAAAAATTTGAAAATGTGATTTCCAGACCAACAATGTCTGAGCAACAGAAGACTTCTGTGTTTCTTTTTTCCTAATGTATGCCTCATGTTCCTTGAAAGCGGAAATTTTAAGGCTCTCCTAGTTTGGCCAATGTAAATCAAACCACACTGGCAAGGAATCCTATAAATACCCCAAGAATTCACATCCGGAATGGGGCCCTTGAGTATGGAACTCGGAATTTTATTGATAACGCTGATTTTTGTTGTTTGCCTTCTGAATTAGTATTTATTCAGCGTGTTATTGTGTCTGAATTTAATGGTTTAAGTGCGAAGAACATGATATTTTATAAATAAAGATAACACACAAAACGTTAAAAGAACCGTTGCTTTGGGCTTAACGTAAAATCTGAAAGCTTTCAGATTTCTTTTAATATATATTTTCTTTTCTTTTAGCGGCTTAAACTTCCTTGATTTAATGGTTCGTCAAGGAGCTATCGACAACCCTCCAAAAACTCCTTTCATCATGGGATTTGAGTGTGCCGGTACCGTAGAAGCCGTAGGAGAAGGTGTGACCGACTTTAAGGTAAGCATGTACGCTACTTCAATTCAGCAATTAAGTTATTAAAGTTTGGCGATAAAAAATAGGTGTGGCTTTTACTTATTGGGTTGAACTTCTGTTAAAAATATACGAATAATTAATTTCCAGATGATGACAAGCAAACAACAGCAGCCAAAAAATATAGATTATTTGCAAGGTGTATGGATATAACTAGCGGGCTGCAGCCAAAGCAAAATTTATAAGTCCGAGTACCCCTGAAAAGCAAATATACAGAAGCCTCAGAAGAATAAAATCAGTTCATTCTTTCCAAGCACTAATTCGTAAATACTTTTTAATTGCCAAACCAGGAAACAAGAACTTTTGGCATTTCATGTTAATACTTATGACGTCATAACTTAAATTTTATGTAATAGAATAACATTTTCTTAGTATCAATAAATGAATTAACATAGCGTTAATATATCGTGTCAATAATACTAACCTGAAACAAAAACGTTACCAACAGCAGCTATTTATTTGAAATGAATAAATTAAGAAAATTAATAAAGAAAATTTCGACATGCAATGACGTCACATGCAATCACGTGCTTTCTTCAATATCAGAACGTGACCTTGTATAATAATGATAATATGTTTAAAGTTTGACAATGTTATTTTCATTTCATATTTTATAAAACTTACAAATTTTTTGCTAACAAAGTCTTTAATATGAAAGCGAGGAGTGGCAACATTTTTCGAAATATAGCAGATTTTTATCTCCAGCTCACAAGACTGTTGCCACTCGAAAAATTGAGTGCGATAATTAGCGTTTTCAGAGTTTTTAATTAATATCTCGGCTGATCTTGAAAAGTCTTTCAAAGATGATAATAATCGAAATGGCTTCCTACGAATTTTTGGAATCGGGAATAATATATTTAATGCTTTTTATTTCATATTTTGTAAAACTTCGAAATTTTTTATTAAGAAACGCTGCGATTTGAAAGCGAGCAGTGGGAACACTTTTCGAAATAAAGCAGAGTTTCATCTCCAGCGTGCGAGACTGTTTGCCACTCCGAAAAATGAGGGAGAACATTAGCATTTTCAGAGTTTTTAATTAATATCTCAGCTACTTAAAGTCGTACGAAGATGAGAATTGTCGAAATGGATTCCCACGAATTTTTGCAATCTGGGGGTACTTCTCTCGAAGCTCAAATCCCTGCCGTTCTGGAGGAGATAATGCCACAAACAAACAGAAACTTTTTTAAATAGTACAGACAACAGCAAAAAATCTGCTCTTTAAAAACCGAAATTTTGTATTAAACTCTTTTATTGCGTGTTTTGAAAACACGTTCTGAAAATAATAAATTGGCCTGACATATATAAAACAAAGAAATCATAACATCATACGACTTATTTTACCATAATTATGCCACAACTTCATAAAAAATATTTGTTTGCAATTGATAAATATAATTTATTCATAAAGTGGTAAGATATTTTAAATGGCAACTAAAAACATTTTTGGTATATGGGGTGATCCTGGTTGATACCGAAAAGATATATGATCGCCAAAAAGCGCCATTACATTGTTGCATGTGTACGGGTTCGTAATAAATTGAATGCACAAGTCCGATGAAACGTGAATAAAATTTATTCTTATTACAAAAAATAAAACAAAATACTGAGATTTCCTCAGAGATATTGGTACAATGTCGCAATATCTCACAGTAGTTATATTTTAAACTAGTTGACTAGAACTCAATTCAAAAACAGAGAAAAAGGTAATCCGGATTCACCGCGAATCACTACAGTGAATAACAGCACTAAGTAAACAACTAATAAAAAACTTAATTGAGATTTTTCTTCAGCTTTTCAATCATGCACGAGAACATTCTCGTATTTTCTCAATTTTTCTGGATAGCAAAAAAATACAATTACGAGATATCTATTTATTAAAATGTTAAATGCGCGTGCTGCTGTATTTTAATTCTTCGTGCGTAGCTTTCTCTTCAAATAAGTCTCGTGCTGCATTGCACGAGAATGTAAAACTATTTTAACTACAAATTCTACTAAAAACAGCTAAATAAATTCAAAATATGTAACAATGTGGTTGGCGGTGTATCAGGGGATATCAGTTAATACCCAAATCCCGAAACATAAGAATTCAATTTTTTTAATGCACCTACATTTATTAAGATTATACAAATGAGATTCAGTAAACAAAGTATATACAGTAGAACTCCAACTATCCGAATACCATTCGGATAATCAAAAATTTGGATAATTGGATTTTTTTCCGAAGAAAGCGTTTACATGCACTTTATTTAATTACTGTATGTACTGTAAATTGAAAATGGGAGAATAAAACTATTTTTAAAGAAAAAGAGGTTTTAATTAATTAAAATGAAAAGACAGCACTTTGACGTACATGTTATATAGCTGACAATGAGAAGTTGCACGTGATCACACTCGGGTTGAAGCTCCATCCACTTGAACGCAGTTTCAACGCTTCACTGGCCCACCAGCGGCCGAGCAGTAAAATCGCTGACCACTGGTAGTTCGGTCCGAGGTTCGAATCCCGCGAACGGGCTGGCTACATGGGCATTTTCGTGGTTTTCCTCATGTGTAACGTGTATACTAGCCAGTTTCCCTGAGAAAGTCCTCCACGAAGGCGTCCCTCCCCTTAGGCAGATAGCCCTAGTGAGCTTTGCCATAATTAAATACACCACCATCAACGCTTCACTAGCTGATGGTCCCGTGTCTGCTTCAACTTCAACATTAAAGTCATCTTCTTCCACGACACTTTCAATAAGTTCGTCGTCATTTAAAATTTGAAATCCAGGGTATGACTAACCACACACCATTTGCTCCTGTTTATGCTTAAAATCGTTGATTGTCCAACACTGTACATCTCAGCCAATTGTTTAGCCGTAACTCCTTTATTTGATTGCTCTATGATTTTTAGTTTATCCGCTAACGATAACACGCGTTTTCTTTGTGAAGCCGCGATAAACGACGAAACGTTTTCGTCTTAATGTTTTTCTTAAATTCTGAAAGCGATTCGAATAATCAGAGATTCGGATAGTTTGAGTTGTACTGTAATTCAAATTTCTGATGCTTGAATCTCTTTTGCTTCGTACAATTTGATTAAAAACAACATTTGAGTAACAGTTCAGATATCATAGTCACTGCTATAGCTAACGGCGCCGCCTTGTTTGCATGGTGATAAGGGAGCCTTGGACCCAAATTTAAACCGTGGCGTAAGCATAGATGTTTGGAAATGCATATTGCCTTTTTGAGGCACTTAAGCTGTTATAATACTGCCCGGCCAAAATTTCTCTTGGGTGGTCTGTGGTAGAGATAAAGGGCTCGGACACCTGATCAGAAGGATTAGAAACAACAACAACCATTAATAGCTGCAAATGCAACAGGCAACGGAAATGCATGAAACAGCAATTTATGCGCCGTAGTATAAGTTGCTAGAAAGATCCAAAACCTGTTAGTCACAATTATTAAAGTAGGCTGTTCAGAATGACGAAGATGGGTTCCTAAGATTATTTGGATTATGGTAAAGCCCGCTAGAGCTATCTACTTTCATGCTATGCTTTCTTAGAAGACCTTTTAACCCTTTCCCGCACGCTACCTTTTAAAATTGGAGTTTGATAAAAAAAAAAAAAAAAAAAAAAAGGTAGGCTGTCTAATTAGGCCTAGAGGTCTAAGTGAAATTTTGTGAAGATAGATAGCACTTATCGTTTTAATTCTGTGGGGTGCCACCACGATTGATAGAATTCGAAAGAGGTACTGAACGAGCATTGTGGTCAATGAACTGACCGATGAGATGCGGAGAACAAAGATACAGACTCTCATTTGTCCTAGTATCGGTGAGCCCGGTCTGGGCCCACCTCGTTCGCCGTTATTTTAGCAGATTTCAAAGGTAAATTTAAATTAATATATAATAAGGAGATTAGCATACACCAAAAAAAACATAGAACTTTCTTTTCAAACATTCCTTTTTATCCCTAAAAACTGGAAAATTTTTGAAAAAGGAGGTTCTTAAAACTAAACATGCTCAAATTAGAGTTTTTGTTTGAGCTCCCATCTACTAAAAAGAGGTCAAGTAACCTATAAATCCTTTTTCATTCAATTTTTCTGTGCGTACAAAAGGATATTTTTAGGTGTGTCCAAACCGGACACACTGTGCCGCAAAGGGTTAACTCAGTCACTGCCTATCGTCACCAAACTTTGTACAATTCCTTTTCTGGGACCTGGGAAAGGTTGCCGTCCCCCCTTTTTAGAAAAAAAAAAAAGCTAAAATCAGACAGATATTAAATAAAAACTCTGAAAACGCTGATTTTTTCCCTCATTTTTTGGAGTGGCAACAATCTCGCATGGAGATAAAAATCTGCTTTATTTCGAGAAGTGTTGCCACTGCTCGCTTTCAAATCGTAGATTGTTAATGAAAAATGTGTTAAGTTTTATAAAATCTATATAATTATTCTATATATAAAGAATGTCTGTTTATATGTTTGTTTGTTTGTTTGCATTAATGATTCTGATCAATTATCATCCATTTTCTGCCACATAAGGACTAAAACTGACTATAAATATTGCCGAACTTGAGCTTACGAACATTTGATTAGAAAGACGAACATCATTAAAACTGCGTGACATTGTTGCTGATATAATGAGAGAGAATTAGTTTATTTCTCAATATTATGTGGGTTTCATATCGCATCAGACTGAAAAATGTATGACTATGAATCGTATTTTTGCATTGTTATTAGAAACCAATTACAGCGGTGTCGTTCTAACTGTTGTTAGATACATTACTCTGAATCGTAACTGGCATCGGGTACTTCCGCTAGGAATATAAAAACCGAACACAAAAATTTCCCAAAAAGACGGACATAATAATAAATAACGAATATAAAGTTCCAAAAGTACTGTAAACAAAGAAGAGAATAACGCGTGCGTACGGGTTCGTTATGAAATGAATGCACAGTCCGATGAAAAATGAACAAAAATTTATTATTATCACAACAAAA